CCGAACCTCAGCATGATTGATCATCTAATGCTCCCCAAAGAACAATTGTATGAATTAATTTATTTGTTTCTTCAGCTTTTTGAAATGCTTGACGATATTCATAATATGGAATCTAATATAGAAATGAATTTTTTATTCGAATGAGATTTCTTTTTTTTATTTACTTCTTTAAATGGATAAAATTTTCGTTCAAGTAAATCAAAAACTTCTTTTTCATTTAGAATATTTTCACCCATCCAACTGAATGATTTTAATAAATTTTCATATAATTTATCGTTCATTGTTGATATAAAATGTTCAGGTGTCATTCCAGTTTCATTAACCTTAATAGACGGAGCAGCTGAACGTAATTCCATTTGAGGCATATGACCTATATCAACTTCCATAGAAGCCGATGGACCACCACGATCTACGAACCATTCCATATCTTTTCAAAATATTAAAAAAAAAAATTTTAAAATTCTATAAAAATCATATGGTGTTATTAATATTTACCAACATTTAGTCTTTTTTCACTGGGTACATACATATTAAAATAGGTTATTTCAGAAGCATCATCACGAATAATTAAACGACCTTGAAATTGAGCTGGTGTATACCAGAATGGATGATACGGTGGTGTATTAAGTTGAAATTCCGCATGCATTCTAAACGGCAAGGAAATCATAATCAATTTATGAGAGAAGATTTCTTATTATTAAATGTCATTTAACTGAATATTTTAAAGTATCGGAATTATCTTTGTTTCTTTCATCACAATGAAGACTAAGGGTTGACACGATGCTATATAGAGACAGTTTCAGGACTTTGATATTTTTTCTACAATTAATGTACTGAATGTCGCCACAGATTGAAGACTAATCTGATTCAGAGTTGCACTGCTTAATCATTTACACTTTTCGATACATACTATTTTGTATATATCTACTATGCTGTCATCTAGGTAACTAGTAGTTAAATATATTCTTTGTTGGAATGAATTAACGCAAAACTATAAGCACACACATAGGCTCTTAGTTTACAGATCATTGGGTATACGAAAGATGCGGATGGGGTTTGGAAACAAAACGAACCCGTTCAACCTCACTCTCATTCACTTCGTACAAAAATTAGACTTCCTATGTCTACCATAAAAACCCATCAATTACAAACCGAAAATAAATATCAAGAAATGCACCATGACGAGCACGAACAACTGCAACAGTGCCTTGAGGTGGAAATCGTGATAATATAAATGGACGTGAATGAAACATGCTTAATAAACGATGAAAAATAATATGTTCATTTGATATATCTGGTGGATAATATCTATATAAAAACTAAAAACTAATTTCGTTACAAAATTAATGATTCAATACCGATTTGATGAAAGATGTTCGAAACGATGTTGTTGTTTACTTTGAATAATCCAATATGGTTTTCCTATTTCAACTGTTGTAGGTAAAAACGATTGAAAATGTCGTGCAGCGAAATTTAATCGAGGAACAAATGGTTGTTTCCATAGTTTTAAAGATTGAACTTCATCTAAATTAATCTACGAAAACAATATGAAATAAAGATTCCAAGAGAAAAAACTAATGATTAGTCGTACAAAATATGAATAACGTGCATTTTGAGATAAAGTTGTAAAATTCAATGGTTCAAAAAA